AACGGTACAGCTGCTGTGGAAAACAGTATGGTGGTTCCTCAAAAAATTAAAGAATAGTCTGTATGATCCAGCAGTCCCACTTTTGGGGATATATATATGAATTGAAAGCAGGGACCTGAAGAGATATTATTTGCACACCCATGTTCATAGCAACATTATTTAAAATAGCCAAAAGGTGAAATCAACCCAACTGCCCATCAATAGAATAGATGAATAGAACACCTCTCCCCAAAAAATGCGGTGTATATACATACAATAGAATATTAGCCTTAAAGAGGAAGGAAATTCTAACACATGCCTTGACATATGTGCAAGCATTGAAACCATTATGTATGCAAAATAAACCAGTTACAAAAAGACAAATATTGTATGATTCCATCTATATGGGGTGACTAGGGTAGTGAAATTCAGAGTCAGAATTTAGCATGGTGGTTGCCAGGGGCTGGTGGTCAAGAGATGGGGAATTGCTGCTTAATGGGTATGGCATTTCAGTTTAGGAAGACAAAATGTTCTGGAGATGGACAGTGGCAATAGTTGCACAACAATGTGAATGTACTTAATGTCACTGAACCATACATTTAAAATGGCTAAAATGCTAAATTTTATGTTATGTGTATTTTATCACAACAGAGAGATAAATACAGAGCTCTTAAGTTAATGTCTTTATACAAGTCTCCTATGTTACCTTTTGCCTAAGAGTTGTGACTGATAGAGGGAGTTTAACTTTCTAAAAATCAATGTGAGTCCTGGCTGGTGTGGCTCAGTTGCCTGGGAGTCCAGTGCACTGAAGGGTTGCTGGTTCGATTCCGGGTTGCGGAGCTCAATCCCTGGGAGGAGGTATGTCCATCAATGTTATGACTGTTTCTCTCTTCTCCCTTCCTCTCTCTCTACAAGTCAATAAACTATTCTTTAAAAAATAAATAAATAAATAAAATAAAGTAAAACAATATATTTGTTTTTCATCCCCTTTTGACAGTTTTTACTTTAAATAAGTTGATATACTACTCCAGACCCAACGTTTTTGACTGTTGTCCCTCTCTTTTTTTTATCCTCACCTGAGGACATTTTTCCATTTTTTGTTCAGGTAGAGTGGGAGGGAGAGAGAGAGAGAGAAACATCAACGTGAAAGGGACACATCGAGTGGTTGCCACCCGCACGACACAGCCAGGGCCAGGGACAAACTGCAACCGAGGTATGTGCCCTTCGTGGGACTGAACCCAGGTCTCTCTGGACCGCGGGCCGCCGCTCTAACCCCTAAGCCAAACCAACCAGGACCCTCTTTTTTTTTTAAATATAAATACAAAATAAACCTTTGTTCCATTTAATTTTCACCTTGAGTTTTACTTTGTATGACATTAGGTTTATCACCTCTGCTTTATTTTTGGCTTGTATTTTATTTACTTCTTTCTACCTTCCTTCAATAAATAATCATGTGCCCCCATTGTGTGCCAGGTATCGTTCTAGTCCCAGAGGATATAGCAGGGAACAAAACAAACCAAATCTTTACCCTCCTGGAATTTATAATCTAGTGTAGGAGAAAAAATGTAAAACAAGATAAAGATGAAAAATACAGCATAGTGTTTTAGATGCTTTCTATTTAAAACGTCCTCCACAGATCCACAGGCAGAGACGCAGCAGCACAATGTGAGCTGGTCTGTGAAACTCGGGAACCCACCCTGGACCACCTGGATGTACATCTGTGTTGTATAGCAAGATGCCCAGGTAGTTTAAAGGGACATCCAGGTTTGAGAAGCACTTCTTAGGCTCTGAGGAGAGCTAGGGAGAAAAAGTAGGCAGTGAAAGAGTGAGGGAGGCCTCACTAGGAAGGAGGCCTTTGAGCAGAGGAGGTGAGCTCTGCAGATACCTGGAGGAATAAACTACAGCACCTGGAAAGATTTGCGGGCACTGAGGCAGAGGGGTCTATCCAGGGAAGGCTGGAGCCGAGTGAGCTGGTAACATGGCGAAGGAGGGGCCCATCCTCAATATGTGTTTATTTCAGACCTCTGTTTGGGGTGTGCCCTGGCTGCACTGTTTTCTGTTTCTGAGCTGTAATTTGAGCGGCACTGCAGGACAGCGAGGCGCAGGCATGCACGGAGCGCCAGGTTGTGATATGCGTCCTTGGAGACACAAGTAAAGCGTGGTCTGCCTAGGCTTTCTCTATTCATTGTAGCTCCCAAGGCTTTTCTATCTTTGGCTTTCTTTTTAAAATGGAAAAAAAAAAAAAAAAATTCCTTCCTTAGAGCAGCCAAACTTGCAGTAGAAGAAACCCCAAGGTAAACGTTGGGATTTTTGCCATTCCCTCCGCTTCTTCAACCTAAACGTCCTCCCGAAACTCCGCTTCTCAGTCCAGCTATCTTGGAAGAGTAGTCCAGGCAACTGGATATCAAATGAGGACCACCGAGAAAAAGTACCCGTTACTCAACTTGCCCACGGTTTTTGAGTAGGAGGGTGGTGGAGTCTGGCCTGGATCTGCATCTGACCTAACCCGGCTCCGCCGCCCAGCCTGGGACCCGGGCAACTTCATCTCTCCCCACTTTAATTTCCTCTCCTGTGAAAACAGATAATGACACCTGGCTCACGGGGTTGTTGTGAGATCATTTATAGGAAAGCATTTTGTAAGTCATAAAGTGCTAAACGTACTAACTAATGTGAACTCCACGATTTCTGCCAAATGATTGATGTTTGGACCCGCCCATCTTCTGGTTTCTTCCGCACCCAGAGTTGCCCTTCCGCCCTACTATTGCACAAAACCTTCGGATTCAGCATCTCCCGCCACGGGTTTCCCTGGGGAGGACAAGCCGGGTGTGAAGCCCCGGACCGATTGGCTGGGAAAGAGGTGGGACGAGCAGTGACGTGTAGTGTCTGAGAGACTGCACCACCGGGTCCGCGAGGCGCTGGGGAGATGCTGGGGCCGCAGCTGGAAAGAAGCCCAGGGACAGTGGGGAGGGGAGCCAGGGCTTGGGGGTCGGGTGGGAAGAAGAGGCACTGTGAGGTGAAGAGGAAAGGGATGAAGTGAGGAGAGGATAAGTGTAGGTAGGGTGGAGCAGGGTGGAGGGGTGGAGGAGAGCAGCAGGGGAGGAGAGGAAAAGAACTGGGTGGGCAGGGGAGAGTGACAAGGGGTGGGAGGAAAGGAGAAAGGAAGAGGAGCAGTGTTGAACAGGGTTGGGGGGAGTGGGAGGGATTGGGAGGAGATAGGGGGTGGGGCGGGAGCACCCCCTACCGCTGAGGCAGAGGCCTGGTCTCCGCAGGAGTCCCCTGCTTCCCTGTCTTCCCGCAGAGAATGTTGTGTCTGGTGAACCATTACTGGTTCTTTAGGTGAGAAGACAGAGCCTGAGCTTCGGAAGAAAGGGTTCGGGCCAGGGCCCCCGGTGCGTGCAGCTGCGCCTACCACGTAGGCTGGACTGGGTTCGCAGGCTCTAGCAGAGCCTCAGCTCCCTCTCAGTCACTGTGCCCAGGGTGTCTGTGGTCACCGCACGTTTCTAGGCCGTTTTCAGCGCGGTAGAGGAGTGAAGTCAGGGTCGGGTCGGGGTGCTAGGTAGTGGGGGAGGGTTGGAGAGGGCACTCGGTGACCCCTAGCAGGACCTACAGCTATTCTGTGCCGGGCTGTGTGAGTAGGATGCAGAACAGGAATACAAGGTCACCAGGAGGACCCTGAGAAGGAGACAGCTTTAGAGGGGTCTTTTTTTTTTAATTTATTTTTGTTACAGATGCTTCTCCTTTTTTCCCCCATTGACACCCTTCTCCCCACCCCACCCCACCCCGTCCCCAGCTTTGTTGTCCTTGTCCATTGGTTATGCGTACATGTGTATAAGTTCTGTGGTTTATCTGTCCCCTTCCCCCCACCCCCTCTTCTGAGTGTTGTCAGTCTGTACCCTACTTCCACATCTCTGGGTCTACCCTGTTCCTCAGACTGTTATGTTCATTATAGTCCACAAATAAGTGAGATCATGTGATATTTGTCTTTCTCTACTTGGCTTCTTTCGCCTAGGATAATACTCTCCAGGTCCCTCCATGTCGTCTCAAAGGATAAGAGATCATTCTTTCTTACAGCTGTGTAGTACTCCATTGTGTATATGTACCACAGCTTTTTTATCCACTTCTCTACTGATGGACACTTGGACTGTTTCCAGATCCTGGCTATTGTAAATAGTGCTGCTATGAACATGGGGGCACTTTCTTTCTGATTGGTGTTTCAGGCTTCTTAGGGTATATTCCTAGAAGTGGGATCACTGGGTCAAATGGAAGTTCAATTTTTAATTATTTGAGGTAACACCATATTGTTTTCTATAGTGGCTGCACCAGTCTGCATTCTCACCCACCAGCAGTGTACTAGACTCCCCTTTTCTCCACACCCTCGCCAACACTTGTTGTTTGATGATTTGTTGATGGCGGCCATTCTGACAGGTGTGAGGTGATACCTCATTGTTGTTCTTTTGAGTTTTTATGGATTATTTTATTTTGCAACAAACCTTTGAGATAGGTGCTATAATTTCATGCCTATCACACAAACAAGAAAAGTGAACCCTGGTAAATGATTAATAGATACTGAAATAGAATACAGTTTTTGAAATGAAATTGTGTGGCCCTGACCGGTTTGGCTCAGCGGTTAGAGCATCGGCCTGTGGTCCAGAGAGACCCAGGTTCAGTTCCCGCTAAGGGCACGTACTTCAGTTGCAGTTTGTCCCTGGCCCTGGTTGGTCGTGCGGGTGGCAGCCACTCGATGTGTCCCTTTCATATCGATGTTCTCTCTCTCTCTCTCTCTCTCTCTCTCTCTCTCTCTTTATCTCTCTCCCTCTCTCCCTCCCTTCCTCCCTCCCTCCCACTCTATCTGAACAAAAAATGGAAAAATGTCCTTGGGTGAGGATTAAAAAATAATAATAATAAAATAAAATGAAATTGTGTGTATATAGTTGTATTCATAAAAGTAAGTACACTAATCAAAAGCTGTGCAACATTAACAGCAAATCCAAATGGGAAGATATTCTTCTGAATTACATGTTTCATCGAGTGTCAAAGACCACCAATCTTTTAGTACTTTTCTTGTACATTATTCTGTATCCACATTCTCTGCATCTGACTGGATCCCCGCATTTTATTTCACTTTCTGTGTGACATTCTCCACAGATATATATTATTGGCTGCTGCTCTGGGGGTTGGACATCCTCCTGGGTGTCCATTGTTAGACCTGATCACTGACAAACTCCTCTCTCTGCGATTCCAACTGGACAGCAGCTCCCCTCATTGTTGTTTTAATTTGCATCTCTGATGATTAGTGATGTTGAGCATTTCTTCATATGTCTCTTGGCCATTTGTATGTCCTATTTGGAGAGGTATCTATTTACGTCCTTTGCCCATTTTTTAATTGGGTTCTTTGTCTCTTCCTTTGGTTGAGTTGTATGAGTACTCTGTATATTTTGGAAATTAACCCCTTATCTGAGGTATCATTGGCAATTATGCTCTCCCATACAGTGGGTTGCCTTTCCATTTTGATGGTTGTTTCTTTTGCTGTGCAGAAGCTTTTTAGTTTGATGTAGTCCCATGTGTTCATTTTTTCCTATGTTTCTGTTGCCTTAGGTGATGTATCAGTGAAAAATTGCGTCTGATGTCCGAAATTTTGTTGCCTACATTTTCTTCTAGGATTTTTATGGATTCACAAACCACATTTAAGTCTTTTATCCATTTTGAGTTTATTCTTGTGTATGGTGTAAGTTGATGGTCTAGTTTCATTTTTTTTGCATGTAGCTGTCCAATTTTCCCAACACCATTTATTGAGGAGGCTGTCTTTACTCCACTGTATGCTCTTGCCACCTTTGTCAAATATTAATTGAGCATAATGCCTTGGGATCCATTTCTGGGTTCTCTGTTTTGTTCCACTGGTCTATACTCCTGTTCTTGTGCCAGTGCCAGGCTGTGTTGATCACAGTAGCTTTGTAGTATAACCTGATATCCAGTATTGTGATCCCTCCTACTTTGTCCTTCTTTTTCAAGATTTGTGTGGCTATTCAGCGTCTTTTTTGGTTCCATATGAACTTTTGAAGTATTTATTCTAGTTCTGTGAAATACGTCATTGGTATTTTGATGGGGATTGCATTGAATCTATAGATTGCTTTGGTTAATATGGACATTTTAATGATGTTAATTCTTCTTTTATAATGTGTCAGAGAGATAACCAGAGACACACAGCCAAACTGTAAAGAAGTGCTTTATTCTCGCCGGTGGACTGCGGAGGGCATAGTCTCCCCTCAGATCAGCAGCCAAGATTCTTCTTGCTCATCCAATTTTAAAGACAGAAGCCCCATCCTCCTTTTCCCCACCTCCTTCCGAGGACTGGTACGACAGTGGGCGTGACAGTGATTACAGAAGTAAAAATTAGCATTATTCACCAAGCTCACGAATACCTGCAAATGCCTACAAATACCAATACTGGAAACTATAAATGCCTTCCAACATGTGAGGCAACTATAATCTTAGGCAAAATTTCTTTACTTCTAGGGATAATTAACCTATTATTAGAAAAATATTGAGGAAGGTCCATCGATGATAAAAATGAAGTTAGTCACCTTAGCCATGAGGCCTACATAAGAATGGAATCTAGTTGCTTAAGCCTTGGTGCCTAGGTCATTCCCCACTGGTTTTCCTGACAAGTCAATTCATAGACTCGACTTATTTTTTATATGAGGCCATTTATTAGACATGGCCCAAATGCTAGGAGTAAACATAATTATATAGTGAGAGGGCCGGCAATGGTGGATAATAGAGTTGTAAACCAATTTTCAGATTATCGCCTTTTTCTTTCTTGTTCCTCAATATTTTTTTCTAACTAGTAATAAACTTTATTGATTAATCCCTGAGTTATTTGCATAAAAACAGCTTTTTTTCTCCCAGTGCAACACATAATCCTCCTTCCTTAAGAAATAAGAGGTCTGGACTTTCGGTCAAGATGGCGGTGTAGGTCAACGCGGTATGGCATCCTCCCACAACCACATCAAAGTTACAACTAAACTACAGAACAACCATCATTCAAAACCACCTGAAATCAAGCTGAATGGAAGTCCTACAACTACGGAATTAAAGCAGCAGCCACATCCAAACTGGTAGTAGGGGCGGAGGGGCGGAGGCGCGAGGGCCGGTGGCGAGATGGGCTGGTCCCACACCCACGTATGGCGGATAAAAATCAGGAGGATACCTCGGCAGGGAAGGTCCTTTCTGAGGACTGAGGGATTCCTGTCCCACACCAGGTGCCCCGCTCAGGGTTCCAGTGCCAGGAAGAGAAGTCCCCATAACTTCTGGCTGGAAAAACCAGCAGGAACTGAGGCTCAGGGAAGCTGAAGCGGCTGGAGCCCCAGGCAGCTCCCTAAAGGGCCCGCGCACGGACTTATCGGACTCTCTCCCTATAAGCTTGGAGGGGAGGCAGCTTGAGGGGCACCAGAGACATACAGGGAAGAACTGAGCTGTTTGGCACTGGAGCGAGGGCTGGAGAGGGGGCTTTCTCCTGGACAAACTGCTGTCAGAGGCCTTTGTTCCTTTGGTGAGCCCTTCCCTGGGGCGGCAGACAGCTGCCATATCTGGGACTCCAGCAACCTGGCTCACACTGGTAGTCCCGCCCTGGTGACTCCCTGAGACCCCACCCCACCCCACCCCACCCAACTTTCCGGCCCACCCAAGCTGTTGCCACTTGTTTAACCATAGGATTGGCCTGTCTTGGATTCTGCTTCAGGTTTTCCCTAAATTCTTTCAAACGACCATCATCTGGTCTCAGATAGCCCCATACCTCTCGTTAAGTAATACACAGAAACTAACACAGGGAGGCAGCCAAAATGAGGAGACAGAAACAGGTCCCAAATGAAAGAACAGAACAAAACCCTAAGAAAAGAACTAAGCGAAATGGAGATAAGCAACCTAACAGATGCTGAATTCAAAATACTGCTTATAAGGATGCTCAATGAACTTAGTGAGAACCTCAGTGAACTTAGGGAGGGACTCAAGAGCATAAAAAAGTACCAGTCAGAAATTATGGAAGCACAGTCAGAAATGAAGGCGGCACTAACTGAAATAAAGAATAATTTACACAGATTCAATAGTAGAGCACGTAAATCCAAGAAGCAAACCATCGATTTGGAATATAAGGAAGCAAAAAATGCCCAATCAGAACAGCAAAAAGAAAAAAGAATACCAAAAAATGAGGTTAGTGTAAGGAGCCTCTGGGACAACTTCAAGCGTGCCAACATTCGCATCTTGGGGTACCAGAAGGAGAAGAGAGAGAACAAGAAATCGAAAATCTGTTTGAAACAATAATGGCAGAAAACTTTCCTAACTTGGTGAAGGAAACAGACATACAAGTCCAGGAAGCACAGAGAGTCCCAAACAAGATGAACCCCAAGAGGCACACACCAAGACACATCATCATCAAAATGCAAAAGGTTCAAGGCAAAGAGAGAATCTTAAAAGCAGCAAGAGAAAGGCAGCTAGTTACCTACCAGGGAGTTCCCATAAGGCTGTCAGCTGATTTCTCAAAAGAAACTTTGCAGGCCAGAAGGGAGTGGCAAGAAATATTCAGAGTGATGAAAACCAAGAACCTACAACCAAGATTACTCTATCCTGCAAAGCTGTCATTTAGAATTGATGGCCATGTAAAGACTTTCCCAGACAAGAAAAAGTTAAAGGAGTTCATCACCACCAAATCGTTATTATATGAAATGATAAAGGGTCTTTTTGAAGAAAAAGATAACATATATGAACAAACAAAATGACAATGAATACATATCTATCAACAATGGAATCTACAAACAAAATGAACAGGTAGAACAGAAACATTCTCATAGATACAGAGAACATTTTGTTGGTTGCCAGATGGGAGGGGGTTTGGGGGAGTGGGTGAAAAAGGTGAAGAGATTAAGAAGTACAAATTCATTGCTAGACTGACAAACCTCAAAGGGAAAGGGGTTGGGTGGAGTGGGAAGAAATAAACCAACGAACTTATATGCATAATCAATGGACACAGACAATAGTGTGGGAAAAGGCGGGAGGGGGTTGGGAGTGGGGAGGAGGGATCAATGGGGGAAAAATGTGGAACACCTGTAATACATTTTACATTCAACAATAAAGATTTTAAAAAAAGAAAAAAAAAAAAAAAAGAAAGAAATAAGAGGTCTAATCCTCTCTTATTTTGTAGGACCATTTCTAAGTTCCTAGTTCCATTGGGACCCAGGTCTATAAGGATTCCCCTGAACAGTCATAACCAAAAAAATCGAAGTCCTGATAAATGCAAGAGTGTTATCTTTAAGGGGTCCTGAGTCTCTTCTGCTGATCACATTGTCTTTTCTGCCTTCAGCTGAGAGTGATGTAACCAGGTTGGAATGCTGTCAACTTTTACTGCCATAGGGGTGGTCAGGATGACAGTGTATGGTCCCTTCTAAGCTGGAGTTAGTTCCTGGGTGGTGAACTTCTTTACCCACATGGAGTCCCTGTGCTGGAAGGGGTGAACAGTGTCTGAGGTGGGCTTAGGCAGGGTGTCACGGACATGTTTATGGATGGCCTTCTGAGTGGACTGCAGGGCCTGCAAGATCCTGAGTAAGGAGCAGTTGTGAATTTCAGCTTTCAATTCTTCCCTGAGCTTGGGAAGAATGGGAGGAGGCCTACCATATATAATTTCATACAGAGAGAATCCTCCTTGGTATGGGGTGTACCTCATTTGTAAGAGGGCAAGGAGGAGAAGAGTGGTCCAGTTTTCACCAGTTTCTAAAGTAAATTCGGTTAAGATTTCCTTTAAAGTTCTGTTCATGCGCTCTACCTGCCCTGAGCTTTAGGGCTGGTAGGCACAATAGAGTTTCCAATTAATATTCAGGACCTTGGCTATGTCCTGTGATATTCTTGCTACAAAGGCAGGGCCATTGTCTGACCCTAGAGTCACAGGTAACCCAAATCTTTTTTTGGAGTAGTTTCTTAACTACAGTGGTGGCTGTCTCTGTTTTAGTAGGGTAAGTGTCAGCCCAGAGAAAGTGTCTAAGTAAACCAGGAGGTGTTTATATCCTGATGTTTGGGGCTTAACTTCTGTAAAATCTACTTCCCAGTGTTCTCCTGGGAAGGCTCCCTGAGCCCGGATTCCCAGGGGAGTTTTTGTACCCTGCTTAGCATTAACCTGGACACAGATCGTGCACCTGGACACAGTGCTATTCAC